ACTTTTGAAAATATTTATTTCCACACAAGAGCACCCCTAATATGCAGTTGTGAAGCCCCAGGCCATTTGGAAATATCCATGCTTACACTTGTCGAAAAATAGACGGGTTTCAGGCAACGATTTCTTCCAAATCTCACTTTTTTTTTACAGTTTTCATGTATTACCGTTACATTGGACTTAAAAAAAAATGACCAATAAGAAAATGCAAGAATTAACACGAAGAAGCAGACTGATGTTTTCACATCAACATTTCACACAACCGAAAATACAAGTGAAGGTATACAATATTGAAAATGAATAATAATATGACAGGAAAAGTGCTTGTTCAACCACATCTTTATAGAGCAAGAGGTTCTATTTACACACACGTCAAATCGAGCACACAATCCGTTATTTTGCAGAACTATTGGGTTCCTGATTTTATTGTGTGTCATTTTATGCTATTAAAGGAAACGAGAGAAATCACCCCATCCCCCAAAAAGGGGGCAAAATGGCGTCATTCACATTATACCATGAAATAGTTGGGCCATGTAGACAGTTGTATCTGGTTCAAGTGTGACGTCACTTCAGTTTAAACCAGGCCCACTACACATGCACTGTACATGGAATTAACTGCATTGATCACCGTTTACATGGGACCATAGAACCAGAAGTTAAAGAGCGACCCCAATGGTGGCGAAAAAAATGGGGAAAACAGTTTAACATACTCACGTGGTATCTAAGTAATAAGTTTTATATGTAAAGTGGCACGACGCGTCGTGTGTGTACAAACGTAATGGTAAAAAGGCGACGGTGGACACGACGGGTTTGGGGACGGCACGAAGCAAGGGAGCTGTCGTGCCGTGTACTTGCGTCGCCTGGAGACTGTACCGGCTCAGTGCGTGCACATGCACAGCCGGAGAACCGTTTCCACTGTGCTACTCGGACAAAAGCCCGGAAAAGCCGTATTCATGACATGTAAATGAAGCGATAGCGACATGCTCCTTTCGCGAAAGTTAGCCATGGTGCTCGGCAAAAACGGGTCTCAAAAGTGATTTTGTTTTTTTACCAAAATATTGCTGAATCCAGGTTTAGGCCTATGTGGCGTAGATTTCTATAATGGGAAACGTACTACGGCCAGATTTCCCATTTTTTTCAAGCGTTGGCGTTGCATTTAAAAAAAATAAACGCCTGACGTCAGCGATCGTCCAATGGGAGCCTGCAAGTCGTGGCGCGTCCGCGTGTATGACAAAGTTACTAATACGAACCAGCCAGACGTGTCCAAGGGACTTGCCCATATTGATTAAAAAAAGCTGAAAGAAGCTGTCAGGGAGAGCATTTAATGTTGATGACCATTGTTGGTGTGAATGTGTATTTTTGCTACGTAATGCACTACCTGTGCAGTAAGGTTTGTCATTTCATAAACAGCGGCAAGCAACACCTCTAAGATGGCCGAGTGGTTAAGCTCGCGGTTATCAGATCGTTAGACGGTGGGTTCGAATCCCACTGGTGGCTTTTTATTTTCCCAAAGCTTGCTGTCAGTCAGTAGCTATAAGAGACTCTAATTAACCCCCGCCAAATACCAACAGTACCTTAGCCCACGGGGTAAGCTCTTCTGCTGGGACTGTCTGCGAAGTCCAGGTGAGCGCCTTAGTACAGGTTCGAGACTTATGGCCGACTCGGCGGCCAGGGCTTAGGGGCTTGTCTCGTTTCCTCCCTTGCATGGTCGCTCGAACTCTTTTTAGGGTTAAATGGATGGGCAGGGNTAACTTTTGCATTTTTCTCTCACCACATTTTTTTATGTCCCTGAGCAAAGAACCCACAGGGTAATTTTCTAGGTTCGAAAACAGTGAGCTAAAGAATTGCTGAAGATTTTTTTTTTTTCATTTATGACATTAATTTCCTAAATTTTCGACAGTGAAACTAATCCAAACTGTGTTGGGTGCATTTCTTCTCAGTGATTTCAGTTAAAAAGCTGTGAGGTGCATGATATTTATTATTGGTGATTCAACAGTGATCCATGGGTGGCACACTCGGGTGGCACTCACCTCCTTTTTTTATTGATGGAAATACAATTTGTTCGCTTTCAACAGCCCAAAAAAATATTTTCACAGAGAAATCTCACAAAAGATACGTCCCATATCTTCTTGGGTTACCTCAAAGTTGCAACAAATGCGTTGCAACTGCCGCTCTTTCTTGTGAACGGTTGATCCATCACTGGTCAGATAGGTTTGCCCTAAATATACAAGCAGGAAAATACTTTAAAAACTCAAAAGAAATGAACAATCCTTAGTTGCTGGAATTTCAACTACAGAAAATGACATCGAGATTGCAATATATGTCAAGTCAGGAAGCTTTTGGTTTTACCCCAGTGTCGCTGCAAAAGGCGCATAGGACATTCAGGTTTCCCCACGGTAACCCACGTTAGATTTCATTTTGATCTGACTGAAACTGAATACTGTCATTTTAGTCACGGTTATATTTGGTCGCGCCATCCTCTCCCATAAGGCCATTCGAGTCAGAATATTAGGCTACAAATAATTATATACTCAAACATTATGTTCAATTTATGGTCGTAAACCTCATCAGTCCTGCACTACAGGCTCTTGATGATAATTCCCACTACGTGTACCTGAAAAGGTGTTGAATCAGCGCATCAAACCCTATGGGCTTGATCAATAGTGTTGAGTGTGGATAATGAAGTAATTCTGGTGGTGTAAATAGGATTGATTTTTTTAAGGGTTTCGAAGACCCATTTTGTGTTTCCTCCGATGTCTTGCGCACTTTTGGAAACAATTGTTACGTTAACCAGGCTGAAGCACTATTAATGACTCAACTAATGGGATAAAGGAAACGTGGGCAGCCTCCCGACGATGGATACAGCATACTGTTGGAAACATTGAGTACTTACTCACAGAAGAGAGAGTTAACATGGTGCTAGCGCAACCTAATATTTAACTTACTAACCTAATTAACTAACCTAATTTGTTATCACATCGGACTCCAGCATTCTGGCGATGTACACAGTCGTTTATTCCAAGCCCATTGTGCTGACAATCGAATATCGTTTCTTGCATATCACTTCATCGAGTGATATCTCCATCTTCCGGGTACCTTCGCCAAAGGTAGCGTTGGGCACTGCGTCGACAGCCCCAGGAAAACCAAGCTTGATGACAGACGACATTGGCATCTGTGATGTCCCAGTTGTCATCGCAGATAGTACCCCAGGTACCAAGAGCAAAGATTTCCACTCGGCCTTCTGCTGAATCTGATCCATCCACTAAACGATCTTAATGGGGGAAAAATTTCACCCTGTCTTTAAAAGGGGATATTAAGATGTTTATCAAAACACCTGTGTATATTTTGAATTGGAACACGTACATACAATGCACGTAGATTGTGACGGTTAGTATTGAGTAATTACCGTTGCATTTGCTCGCTAACCGCCCCCAAAGTTGACAGTCTTGTGGCTTTATACAGTTCGACCATGACATCAAACTATTATGTCAAACTCTGCTCAAATGAGATCGCCGTAGCCTTGCGTGGTTGAGAAAATCAAACAACATAGTCACGACAATAACGTGAGTCAATGAATTATTTCCAAAAAGGTAAATTAGAAATTCGGAACCCAAGAGAAGGTTGTACCTTTAATAAATAAACACTGAACACATATTTTTCTGCTGTCCTTGATAAAGTTGTGTCTGTTTATCTTACGTTATATTTACAAACTTATAATTGTGATTCAGATTTTTGTGTCTTCGATAAAACCCTTCGTATTAAACGTATTATCTAACAATTTCAGTAATTTAGTAACTTCATGAGTGGATTATTTTCCCCTGAAAATCGTAGGATCCTTTCATTTATCGCTTCAAAAACTATGAGCAGTTTTCTTTTATTCAAACAGGACACACTAAACTTAAGTTGCCAAGAAATGAAACGGACGTATGGGTGATGCAACGGAAACCCACCCTTCTAAGGTTTGTTGAAAAAAGTGACAGGTGTGGGGGATGGCAAAGTTCGGCGTAGGACATGCCCCCCATTTACCTGTTGCAATATCGTCAGTAGTGGAGTTGTCTGTCAGATGAAATTGAATATGATGATTGCAGTATTTTGTCGTGATCAATCTTATTATTAATCATGAAAATATATTGATGGTGCTCGGCAAAGACCATCGCATTACAATAAAAATCGGACTAGGGGAAGCAAATTTGAAGAAATCATATAAAACACAAAGCGTGCCTTTTTAGAAACCTTTTGAAGATAGTACGGGGCATGACTTCCCTGATTTTAACTGGGGATCGATTCACTTTTTNGACACTATCTCTCGTGTCCGCATAGCATGTCCAAAACACCAAGATTACTACACGGCAACGTACCGAGCGATTCGTGGACAACATGAATAGCGCCCTCATGTGACTGCAACACTTAACAATTAGCAAACACCACATATTTACAAACTAATAATTGTGATTCAGATTTTTGTGTCTTCGATAAAACCCTTCGTATTAAACGTATATATCTAACAATTTCAGTAATTTAGTAACTTCATGAGTGGATTATTTTCCCCTGTAAATCGTACGATCTTTTCATTTATCGCTTCAAAAACTATGAGCAGTTTTCTTTTATTCAAACAGGACACACTAAACTTAAGTTGCCAAGAAATGAAACGGACGTATGGGTGATGCAACGGAAACCCACCCTTCTAAGGTTTGTTGAAAAAAGTGACAGGTGTGGGGGATGGCAAAGTTCGGCGTAGGACAAGCCCCCCATTTACCTGTTGCAATATCGTCAGTAGTGGAGTTGTCTGAAAGAGAAGAACATAAGAACTTAGAGTCAGATGAAATTGAATATGATGATTGAAGTATTTTGTCGTGATCAATCTTATTATTAATCATGAAAATATATTGATGGTGCTCGGCAAAGACCATCGCATTACAATAAAAATCGGACTAGGGGAAGCGAATTTGAAGAAATCATATAAAACACAAAGCGTGCCTTTTTAGAAACCTTTTGAAGATAGTACAGGGCATGACTTCCCTGATTTTAACTGGGGATCGATTCACTTTTAGGGGGAGACAAAGAAAGAAAAGACAACATCCTTTTTTATGGCAGACGTTGAGACGCCGGCAGCAACAAAAACTTTTCCAGGGTATTGCGCGTGCTCAGAATTATGCACGCATGCTCAGAACAACGTATTCATGCTCTGCACTTGTCAAAAGGACCGCGTTGTTTATCGCCAGCAAGCGTCTCACAGTCTCCCATCGTAGCGAGGAGAAGTCTCTCGCATGACTTCAGAGGAAGAGTTGAGCCTCCTGTGTTGTACAGAAATAAGGATGTCACAATCTAGCTCGGTAAATACGAATCTTTCTTAGAAATGGAGCTGGTCTACGAAATCGAGTAGTAACTGATCTGATGGCATTTCCTCTATTGAGTGAGAACACAGGGAAAGCCCTGCACAAGCCTGTACCCACTTCTCTGACAAGGCTCAACACCGCACAACAATATATATTCAGGTATAAATTCAGGAATATTCATCCTGAATAAGAAACGTGCCAATCAGACATGACTTGAAGCTGGTGATGGGTTTTTACACTTCTACTGATTGTACTGATGTGATTGGTCAGGTGTTTACCCATACATTATAACAGTGCGGGGTAACTGCAACATTCTGAGATTGAGATAACGTCTTGAGTATATTTGGCGAAGCGAAATTTAATAAAGAGTTCAGTTTTATCTCGGTGAAGGACAATCCAGCTGAATCCTGTTTCGTACATCCACGTATTGACCTCAGGCATAAAAATAAAAAAGTAAGCTCTGAACTGGATTTGTTTTTGTTAAAAGTCTTTATAAATCTAATTGCCATCTGCTCAAACATGGAAGTTAATTATTGTCCTCTGATGCCACCATCAATGTAACGGTGAAGAACCATGACCAACCTCGGACACCTTAGGTATTGAGAATTCAAGAATATGTGCGCAAACGAAAAATCGTATTAATTTGATATTTGTACATTTGAAATTTGTAAATAAAACGGTTGCTTGTCTGTTGTGTTGATCAGTATTTAACAAACCCCATTTCCCCTCCTAAATTTCGTATTATTACGTACTTCTGACCAATGAGCGAATTCATACAAAAAATGTACATGATGTCATTCCGTAACGAGGCTGCCAGGTAACCAGTAATTCTTCATTAAGCTGGATCTGGTACCACTCTCAGCAGATGCTCGACAAGTCATCACATTTCACAAAGTCGAGTTGTTGGCTTTTATAGTTATACTTGGTGTACTGGTCTTCTAAAAGCGTGCCAGATACAAACTTACCACAATGGACTCCAACGTCTTCAGCGTGCGAGCAGTCGCTACTCCCCAAAGTTCGAGGGCACTCCACAGCTGAATCTTCATCTCCCCGACACATAACCTCGTCCATCAGGATGTGCATCTCTTCAGCGCCCGCCCCGAACGAAGTGAACAGCACCGCCTGTGTAAAGCCCAGTTGACGGCAAACAACGTTGGCGTTGAGGAGGTTCCAACTGTCATCGCAGATAGTTCCCCAGTCGCCTTGTAGGAAGAGCTCAACGCGCCCTTCAGTAGCGTTTAATCCATTCGCTAAACGAACTTAGTCGCCAAAAGGACAAAATTTTGTTAGGTAATGTGGAGCTAAATAAAAAGTTAATCATGTTCATGTATGAACATGTAGGAATATTCTGCCGGCGCATAGGCAACTGTATGAGTCAAATTACTGAGCGCACTGTAGTGATAGCGTTTGAGATGATAATTTATACACACATTATACAGCAAGTTCTATGATATACAATGTCATGTACCTTGTCTGAATACTAAGATTGTTAAATGGAACCTTTGGGAAATAACGACACACCAACTTTTAATTTGAAATTAATTTCCCCAAAGAAGCCCCTTTTCACGCTTTTGTCAATTTTCAAGCTCAACAGCACATTACAATAATAGTTACAGTAATGATGTAAACAGATATGGAAACACATAGATTTTCAATTGGTGCTTCTGGAAAGACAATAGATTAAAAAAAAGGAAAGAAAAGGAAATCTCCGAGAAAAATAAAGCTGAAAGAAAACAGATACCACGCGTTTAAGAATAAATACTGCCCTATTGGTGTCGATTCAGAGTTGTCAAATTATAATATTTATGAAACTTCCAGAATGTTACTTAAACCGCAGTTTAGGCATTTTCCCCCTGTGACTCGTGCAGTTTTGAAGATGAACTGCAAACACATACTGCTTTGCATACTGTTAAAATGCCATATAAAAACAACATTGAAAGGATCGCAATAATCAGCTGACGGATTTAAAGTTATACTAGGTTAAAGGTACGGAGCTAGCTCTAGTCAGCAGAGATCGGAGTCATGATCCTACCATCGACTTCACAGCGCACTCCAGCATCATCACTGTCGGAACAGCCGCCACTGACCCTCCTGTCAAGCCCGCACTCGAATATCGAATTCTCACCACCGGTGCAAGCCACTTCGTTGAGCAGAACTGGCACGTTGCTATCACCTGGACCGAAGACTGCCGCACTAGCCACTTTCTCTGTCGCCCCTAAAAAGCCCAACTGACGACAGGCCACGATGGAGTTGTTCAGACTCCAGCCATCACCGCAAACAGTTCCCCAGTTCTTATCTGCAAACACCTCAACGCGTCCTTCCGCTGTGCTTGAACCATCCACCAAACGAACTTGGTGGTGAAAGGCTGAAAAATATACTTTACTATGGTGTACTTCAAAATCACAGCTTTATCGTGATGCATTTTTTCCACGCACGGTTAATGGCTTTCTACAGTGCACGTGGTATTACCACCAACTGATATTTCAAGGGTGACCATAAATTTTAGGGCTTTTAATTTACAAATTTTGGCGAGGAAACGAAACGAAACAGTTACAGACATTCCTTTATCTCTATTTTGCGTAGTCATGGCCATCCTCCCCTTCCGTGGTTCCCTGACACAATAAAATAGGAAAGGAAATGTCTGGCGCCTACATGCAACTGCACGTTGACTTTTCAGCGGCCCTTTAAAACAGAAATAAACATTTTAGCAGGTACTCACGGGAAGACAACGAGGTCTGCTTATCAACGTTGCGATTTGCGATCAATTGCGACAAACTTTTTCCACTGACTTCTTTGATCGTAGCAAACGACGCCTGCATCCTCGTTGTGGTTGCAGTTGCTCTCCATCAGGGTTGCGCCGAGACATTCGGCGAGGTGCTTCTCGCTCCCCGTACACTGTAGACCACTCAACAGGATCTGGCCGCTTCCTTGACCAAAGGCAGCTGACCCCTTTGCCATCAAGGCGCCGTTGTAGCCGAGCTGACGACAGATAACTACGGCATCAAAGGCATCCCAGTCGTCATCGCACACCGTGCTCCAGTTGCCCTTGACGAAAACCTCCACCCTGCCATCGTGGGGTCCTTCCCCATTGACGAGTCGGACATTCTCATGGACTCTTTAAAGAAAGCATTACTGAAAGAAACCCATTACTGAATGCTACTCCAGTAGTATATGGCGAAAAATCATGCACATGCATCGAAAGAACTTCAAAGAAATTTTGAAATTTTGTTTAAGACTGCCAAAAAAAAGACAAGAAAAAGGTTTGAAACAGGAAATTCTTAAAAGGAAATTCCTAGCAAAGTATATTACAATTTTTACCCAACGCATTGTTATATTTTATACGTTATTTTTTTCCTGGGTAAATACCACCAATGATGATTCGCAGCGATGAACGCTGCCCCCCTTTATGGAGCCAAATGGGTTATCTGACCCCATCAGTTATCCTATTAAGTGAAGTCACAATGGCATACCTGACATGAAGGCTTTGCATCTCACCCCAGTATCAAGGTCATGTGAGCATACACTGCTTGGAACCATTACGCCGTGGCTCGGACATTCGAATAACGACTCCTCCATGCCTGGGCAATCCAGGAAGTCCAAATAAAGGTCCTGCCCTTCATCACCCACGCCGAAGGTAGCCGAGGAAGCCTCCAAGGCACTGTCGTAGCCAAGACTGCGACAGAAGACCCTGGCATCATGCAGGTCCCAATTTAAAGGGTGGCCACAAACAGTTTCCCAGGCACCTTCCACTAACACCTCGACACGTCCTTCGCTGATGCTGGATCCGTTTACCAAGCGAACTTTAGGTTAAAACAAACTACTTTAACAAAAAAGCGCTACATGAACGATGATTTAGGAATCCCGTAACTATATCATGAAACACATTAAACTGTCAGATAAGTAGGCGGCAGAAATCACTCAACCTAGCCTTTAAAAAAGATGCAGGGTGAGTGCAAGTCGAGTCCATTATAAGCTTACCGTTAGGGACAACGCATCGTACCCCTACGTCTTCATCGTGCGTGCAGTTGTTCATCCCCAGGCCTTCGTGTTGGCAGTCAAATAAAGTTGCTCGTCTCCATTGCAGTCAAGACGGTCAAGATGGATATCTTTCCAGTCGTCTCCAGGACCAAAGGTAATCGTCGACAGTGCTGCCTTAGCTCGGTTGAAGCCTAGCAGGCCACACACCACGTGGGCTTCCTTGAGACTCCAGTTGCTGCCGCAGACGGTTCCCCACGTGCCTCTCGCAAAGACCTCAACGCGTCCTTCGGTAAAATCCGAACCGCCAACCAAGCGAACTATTTTTAATTAAACAATAAACGTAGGTGATCAACTCCATCATGTTTTATCCCTCTTTTGTGATATATACACGTGAACTGTTAAAAGTACTTGATTAGGTTGGGTAGAATCAAAATAGTCTCTTTACTCTGTACTGAACCAGCTCAGTTTTACGAAAAAGAGTTTATGTATAATTCTTCTCAGTATAATAGATCACAGATGGAAAACATCTTAGTGTCAAAAATACTGTGAAGGGCTACAAGACTATAATTGCTTTCAGTTTCAACTCTGAAATATGCCATCGAGTTGTAGCCAAAGCTACATCAAATCTTTTGTATCGAGGACCCTTGTCTATTTACCTTGTGTTTGAATAGATGCAATCGTATCTCCGGCTTCGATGCTATCAACCCGGAACACAAAGCGACCAGTGGTGTTGACATTTGAGTCTTGGTCAATGTCCACGATGGCGTCTTGTCCTGAATTGAACGGCAAGGAACGTGAAGCCGTCACCAGCATTGACACCTACTTGCAAGGATTACAAGGAAAGCACCAAGCTTCAATCAATTGTGTGGAGTGGAGCCTATAAGGGAGGAGGATGACAGCTGGTAAACAAGGTTAAATTCACGTGAGGCTCAGAACCGATTCCACATGTGAAAATACATCGCATGAGCAGTATTATTAATTATTCCCCTTGAGAGTTTTCGCCTATTATGCGAGGGTCTCATTTTCTGCACTCTGTTTTTAGTGATTGATCGACGAAGGGCACATTATGAGCTACACAATGTTATATACGATCCCACTTTCTATCCCTGGTCAAACTGAAGTATTTCTACTTCAATCCAAGGTCTACGTCTATAGTGGCAATGCTTGCCTCGTGCAGAAGATTCTGCATATTATCTGAGAAAAGTCATAGCAAGGCTCATGGGAACAAAATCTGGAATCTAGACAGGATCCATTTCAGAAATTCGAAGTTCAGGTTCAGGAAAGATACATCGTACATACTCACCTTTGCTGGAACACCATTTAGCCCAAAGCTGTTCCCTACGCTTTTTCTACCCGTTGTCCAGTAAATTCTTTCATAGTTGAAGATGGTGAACGAGTAAACACCGTCGGTAACAAGCACAACTTGAAACGTGTTATTCTAGCAATTAATATATAAAAGCCAAAAATCGTCAACGTGAAGCTGGATAGAAACACGATCTTTATTCTCTGAAATTATACAAATTCGACTTGGCTACAACAAATAACATACTGCTCTTTGACCTTTTACTAAAGGTAGCCTTACAATGCTGGAAATAGTCAACTTACAACAGAAAGGAACTTGGTCCCATGTTGCAATGAACAGCCACGTGGCCAAGAAGCCCGCAAATGCCTGGTTGACGAATGCTTGTCTCCCTATGTTCTCCGCCTTGATGAACAGCGATTCCCTGTCGGCAGTGCGAGACGCGATTTCATGGTACCACACGCTGCCGTTGTACCGACTGCTCACATCGGCCCAAAAAACAGCCACCATATCTGCGATGCCAGCTAGGGGAAATGACTTCGGGGTATACGTTGAGACTTTATCAAGGAAGGAGGTCACGCCGTTGGTATTCACCTGTCACAGTCACACAAACGAGACCTCGCTTTCACTCATTTGAATTGCCGACAGATCTTGTACAGATTTACAGAACATAATCAAAAACTCAATTGTGCAGACACATGTCTTGACCCGCTGGCGTGTACGAAGTAGGGTCAGGGAATGACGCACGCACCGCTCACCGTAAGGGTAGAAAAGCCTCTGCTACTTATTCTTGTTTGGTAAATAGGAACTCCTAATTTTCCCATAAGTAGCTTCTCCGGTGTTTCACAATGATTTAAACTTCTTGGCTTGATGATGAAAGGTTAATAATTTCGATCTTCAATTTTGCATTCCATATTTTTTTGCCAACGGGGCAACCATTTGCAACCAGTGAACTTCATGACCTAAAACGTGCTGATCCAGGTTACCGTCTTCTAATCATAACCACATCTTCTGCTGATAGACAGCAGTCATGTTTATTACTTGCAGATGTGAGAAACAGGTATTTTCATGTTTCCTGTTATGTTCAGATCTCACGCAAATAAAATTTAATTTCAATCAAAGATCTTTGGTTTCAACGTTTGCTGATAAGAACGTTTACACCAGAAAAAGTACTGAAAACCAATCTTTTGGACTATGCTATTGCTATGACAGCACAATGTTTTCGTACTTTCTTCTCCTTCTAACAAACAAACAAGTGCACTGCTCTGCGTGATTTTATCCACCTGTTCCACACCTGGTACTGGATCGAAATAGCCGCCAGTGAATTATTGCCTAGCAGTGTCAAAACATGTTGCCAGTGGTTCTGAAAGCAAACTTACATAAAGAGACTCGTGGTTGTTACCAAAAAAGGGAAAGGGCCGTGATATTGACAGTCTCCCAGAACTTGCATCGTCATTCGGTGGGAGCGATGCATCACCTTCATTGCTTCCATACAGGAATAGAAGTCTGTCAGTTTCTTAAACAAAAAAGAGAAATCTGGGTGAGTTTTTAAAGGGGATTTTCCATTTCTTGCTTATTTGTTCAGATTTTCAACAAACTGGGAATGTTTACTATGATAAAAAAGTTGGGCACTTATACATGCTTTGTGTCTTTATTGAGGTTGCAATCAAGAGAAACTGACCCATTTTTGATGGAACGTTTTCAGGAGTTCACACTTCTTATTAACAGTTTTAATTTTGCGATCCGTTTTCTCATAACATGCATATGTATCTCATGAGAACGTCGGCCACAGATTTTCTTCCCATCAACTGACCACATTTCTTTTCAATGTAACAGACTGCCACAACGGCTAAATTTCATGCAGTTTTATATTTCAGTTCACTATTATCTGCCCATGATACTCCTACATTTACTTAATGCAACAGCAAAGATAAGATAGCATAGGTAAAAGTTTCGCCATAACTTCTAATTACATGTATGTATAATTTGTCTTATCAAAACATGCATCTGTGAAGCGCACAATTTTATTATTGTAAAAAGAAGAAAAAAACAAAAACACTCCTTTAAAAGATTCATTTCAATCCTTAATCTCTAATTAGGCCAATTTTAGCTGAAACGCTAACTGACGTAGAAATCCTCACGCGAGATTACAATTTTCCCAAACACCTGGAGCAACAATATAACTTCCTTACATTATTTTGGTTCTTGGGAGAACGAAGTATAACAGTGTCTTTAACTCTGAGCCATATAAACGGATTGGTCGTAATTTTGTTTTTTGTACCTTGTTCTCCAGTTCTTCAAACCACTAACTAAGCAAAGCTAAGTTGTCTGACTAGGTTTTTTTGTTAAATAGAAATGAATCTTTCAAAATATATTTTACAGCCGAGAATATCTGGCCTTGTATCATGGATGATTTTAAGATTAGCATCTTTTGTGTAAAGAAATAAAAGCAAGAGAGCATTTAATATTGAAAACCTCTCAAGATATCCTTTTTTCTTTCAGACACGGCGCTTCCTTTCCCTTAAATCTCCAGTTTATTTTTAATTAATGGCTAATGTTCTTACCCGAAGCGTTAATGAAGACAAAGCTGCCAAGGCACTATCAAAAAGATAGCTTCCCAGGGATGAAACCGCTTCCAAACCGCCATAGCGTGTATCCATTGACGTTAAGTGCGAACTGACATCGTGGTCTTCCCTCCAATAAAACCAAAATTTTATGACACGACTCATAATAAGCTGTAATCTTTTATCAAGAGTCTCTTCGTTTCCCACAGTTGCTTTTCTGCCAACAACCACCGGACCATGAAATTGGATTGCAGCCAACACGAAGCTCGTAGCGTCATTCCGTTGGCCCGGTCGGCTTAATTGGCTGACAGAACAAAACGCAACCTCGTCAACAAAGGAAATAAACCCAGGGCGAAAAAAGATTATGACACCACTAGCACCCAAAGACCGTTTTGACATGGGATGGGTTGGATAAACAGCGACGATGATGGATCGATGACTTGGATTGAAAGATCAGATAATTAGTCAGAGACCGTTTAACACTGGAACACTCCTTTGGGCCAAATAGAATCTAATTAAACGAGTAGGGTAACCACCTGTCATTTTGCAAATAAAAAGTAGTCGCTATTGGCAACATGATGGCCTCAAATTTCCGTTGGGTCACTGATATTGAGGGAAGAAGGTAATAATACCAGTAACCCAACTTGACAGGATGTTTTACAGCTTCTCAAGCCTCCAAATTGGGAAATTAAACTGTCATTTTTCTATTAAATTAGGAAGCGGACAAATGAGGTTATTATACTGACATGCAAAGGTAAAAATAAAAATTGTGATCATCAGGGAGTACAGACCGAAGTTGTTCCGATTTTCCCAAAAGGTTTTACTCACTGTTATCATTACAATTTCTGGTTTATGTGAAAATTGAACTTGTAGCCGAGGGCTAAATTGAGCCAATTTATACAAAAAGGAATTTAAGATGATACTATAAAGACATTTAGATCGCACTATATAAATAATGATTAACATGTAAACAATACAACTAAAACAGAGTTGTTTAAAATTGTTCAAATTTTTCGGCGAACCATGAACCATTCAAAGATACTCATTTTTTTTTATTTATTTGATATCTCTCCGTGAAACAAAAGTTGCCCTTCCCCCAACGCATACCAATTTGGGCATTGGTAGTACACCAAACTCAAACTTTTTAAAAGAAGTTCATTTGATTTGGGCAGGAGGGGGAAGACTAGGCCAGCGCCCCCCCCCCCGAATCAGCTATCGACCGTCCTGCATAAGACAAAAGCCGTTTTGGACAACTCAACCTTTTCGATTCCGGGGGGCAGTTTTCCTTTTAGCGCCTTCTGCGACCATGCTGCGCCGTTTCTAATATCAAAACCATTGCTCCTTTTCAACTGTTCTTCAGATTGAGAGAAAAAAAAGAGGCTTCGACAAGAACGTAAATATAAATTATGGTACACGATCCTTACTCCTATACAGGGGTAATTGGTTTTTTCGAGGGTTGCCCCAAAATACCCTCAGCAGTTCGTTAACATCATTCCTGAATGGAACGTTTCATTGTGACCATCGTGTATAGGCCTACAGCTCTGCGTTTAAGGTAGCGCGCGTTCAGCATTACCTTATTGAAGGAAAAGGTAGCGCGCACTCAGCATTGTGCCAGAAAGGATATGATGGTAAAATGCGTCTGGCGTTAGGTTTCATAGCAGCAACCACGGTTTCGTGGGTTCCATCTTAGAAGCAAGTACTGATACCGATTCCAATAAAGTAATCCAAAAAGCAAACAAAAACCACAAAGAAACACCCCACAAATCCGGAATGGAATTTTAATTCTACGTGTTTGTTAAGCTTCCTATCATTTTATTTTCGCCGCCTGTATTCAATGGATGGGCGAAGTCCAGCTTTCTCGCTTTGTTTAAACCAACTCCAGCACTGCTTTTCAGCATTTTGCTTTGAGTGAGTCATTGTATACTTACAACAGTCAAATATAGTCAGAGATACAGACCCTGATGTTTTCCCATTCTTAGCAAACGCTAATGATTCCCCAATTCTGTGACTAACAATGGAGCATTTGTCTCTATACGTCTTAATTATATTTACCATTGGTAAGTTACATTAACTAGCAAACGTAAACGCTGGTTACAATTCTTATTCTGATGTAATCATATTCAGTTGGGCGACGGGAAGCAAAGGCTTCGCTTGCAATTTTTACATTGCTTTATGAAATATTTAATCTATTATTCTGATGAAATTGTATAATTTTTTTCAAATCGTTAAAATGAAAAGACACTTAGAAACACCTTGGCAAACCACATCCAGTTGAAAATTACAACGAAACGAACTATTTCTTCCAGTTACAAAGGAACATCTTGAGTAGTTAATTCAAATAAATTTAAAACAAATGTCTTGTGATAAAAATGTGTTACTGATATTCATAAATTAGTAAATTCCGTATTATCTTGAAAAAGAGGAAGGGTCCAACTTTTGTTGATTATTTTACTTTACAACCAAGCTGGTTGTCGTCAACGTGGGTCAGCATGTGTCTCTGCTCTACGCATGCTACATTTGCATTTTGATGCACATGGTGCCTATACGCTACTCTTAACATAGACACCCACACCTATAAAAATAGACATTTCCTTTTTTTCCCTGTCACTTTATATTGAGACAATCTAAACGAACATTTTGTTTACAGATACCAAAAACTCGTTTTATGGTTTACCTCTACTGAATTGCAATTTGTTATCAAAAGATATTACAGAGCGTAATAAGGCTTCTTCTTCGACGCAAGTCAAGGAATTAAGACATTTTTTCGAATGGGCGCTTGATACCAATTTAAAGATGTTTCCATCTTGACCCTTCTGGTTCCCAGCGTAACGTCCCAACGGGTGTATAAGTGCTTAACAAAACACTGGAATGGTCCTACGGCACGGTCAACGTTCCGAGGGGCACATAGACCTTTTCAGAGGAGCTTCGCCGGAACAGTCCGATGGATTGGTCCACAGGAAAGCCCAGCTCCGAAATTTGAGATGATCCCCAGTAAATACAATGCAAAGAACGACTTTTTGTATGCAAAGATTATACTGAAAGTAAATAATAATGACATTGCTCTTAAAGAAGTAACTGCTGCTGTTATCACTTTGGGAAAAATATATTTCTACTACAAATTTGTTCAGCGTAAGCAGCTAAAATCAGAGTAAAATTGTGATCCAAAGAAATTCCAAATCCATCATCAGCTCTGCATTCAGTCACATGAAAACACATTTCGGTTGATGCTTGTAAGAACAGTGGACACTCATTTCCTGTTCAAAGGAAAATGGAGAGAAAAAAGTAATTTCGGTCTTGGCCTGTAAGTGATTTATGGAGACTCATTTACGGGGCGGCATAAGGTATTACCCTCCCGTCGCACGTGTTCTTGTTTACACACGTGCGTATTATTAAGTCACAAAACCCCTACTAGTGGAAAAGGCTTTTCACGTCAGCATGCGACCTGAGAGCGAGAGGTATGGGCTTTCAGGTTTCTGGGAACGTGTAGGCCTCGTACCCTACAAACAATCGAAGATGTGATATCTTACTTTTAATAATTGTATTGAAAGCATTCCTCAGCATAAACAAAGAAAACACGCAACAATTTTCATTTTGTTTATTTCAAAAAGATGCAATTTTGAATAATTTTTCTTCAATTGGTACACGTTTACTCGAAGATTAAACTTTATTTGCCTGGAGCTTATCATTTACCTTGCTCTTTGCAACAAGATGACTTTGACAACCACAACAACTGTAACCAGCAAAACGCAACATCCCAGAACAATGAGGACGATTTGCCAAGCCTGCAAACCTACTGAGAAAAGAAAACCAGACGGTGATGTTTCAAACTATACAAATTACATGTACATGTGATAGTAAAAGTTGGCTGTCCTAATAAGGGTCAGGTTAAAAATGTATGACTTGATATGCAATTGTCTATTTTTAAAACAACTCTCTCTGTGTTGAGGAATTTAGTTCTTTGACGTTCACTGATTCATTCAGACATCTAGCATGGAATCTTTACACTGCTATTGCACTTGTAGTTCTGAATAGCAGTTGTCTGTACGAAGGTCATTGATTCATTCAGACATCTAGCCTGATATCTTTGCGCTGCTATCAAACTTGTAGCATTGGATAGCAAGGGTTTTGTAAGAATCATAGAACACAGCGACAAGCAAAAGATCGACTTATAAGTATCTTGAAGGAGGATATCCCAGGTAAAAAGACTACTTGCAGACTCTAAAGAATCCTGAAAGTGAATTTGTACTTTAACGTTTACCATGTTTGTTTCAAATGTTAGTATATTTGATAAAAAAAATTCTAATTGATGGTATGTCAACTCTGCAAACAGCCTCCAAAGCTCTGTGTTCTCCATTGGATTTACTACAAATTACACGGAAGTTCCACTTGATTGTCTTCAGTCTGAAGAGGGAAACAGACCTTGAGACTCACAACAAATTTCACGGACCTTTTCTGTCACGGACTAGACTTAACACAGAAAATTCGTCTCGAACCTGATGCTTCACAAGTTGGGACTTCCCCACTCCACGTGCCGGTCTCCTGGCACGTAAGCTCACTCTCTCCTCGCAAGGTGTACCCATCATCACAGGTGAAACTGGCCACTCCGCCGAGAGTGCTGCGAGACACTTCCTTTGCGCCGTTCGGAGGTACATCAAGACTGCTACAGATCACTGTAAGTGGCATTAAAATCAACATGCCATCAAAACAAATGAAATTTAGAGTGAGGTACATAGACCATGTTTGGTGATGCTTTAAAAAGTTCTAATGCATAACTCGTGACATATCCAGGTCCTGGGTCGTGGATTGGCATATCAAGTAGCTCTTTTCCTTGACGACAGGTGGCCAAAGCTTGGAATATCTTTCTAAAAACAGGAATTACACATGTATTCAAACATTAACTCTCATTTCGCCAGTTCATTGCTCAAGTCTTTAACGTAATCTAAGCGGGAAGAATTTTCAAATTTCATTTTCAAATGGGTTAACAATTATCCTTCGCTACACAAACCTGGTGCACAGACGGGCACATCCGCGCTCCACGTGCCGTTCTTCTGGCACATGAGTTCACTTTCTCCTTGCAAGGTGTATCCATCATCACAAGTAAAGTTGGCCACTCCGCCAACATTGCTACGGGACACTTCCTTCCTGCCGTTCGCTGGTTCGCTCACGGAGCCACAGGTTACTATTGCCGAAATGTGGAACCGATAAGGAATGAGATCATTTGCATTGAACACAGAAGTCGTGCTGGCGATCTGTAACAGTTCAAATATTTTTCTGCATTCGCAATCGAAAACACAGTTGAGCAAGATTGGGATTCCATTAGCGCATGCCCAGGATGAACCACACCATTGCATTCGGACGCTCGGGCGAGACCTGCCATTGGCGCAGCCCTATATACAAGGTCTTACGCGCGTGATTGTTCCCGAATAACCTTGGTGTTAAGAAATAAGTGAACCGGCTCATTGTACGTTTGTATTCGGTTTCAGTCATGGCTTCAGCTGACATACCTAGGGATGCACTCTCCACTGCAGCTTTATAGCGGGAAACTGTACTCCCACTTGCTCGGGCGATGTCACTGTCACCGGTCACTGCCAAATCGAAAATGCACTGTGATATGTTGCCACAGATTTCGCGTGCTTCTTCGGTGATGGCAGTTTCAGGTGGAAGGAAGACAGGCGTGAAGGTCTCATCGCTGTAATCCGTAGGACCTTTACCTCTGGGATATCTGAAGAGGGAATCCTCAGGCTTGATTTGCCCTGTGGAAATTAAATACTGGGGTTAGCATGAGTTTGCAAATAAGGAAAAGGTCAATATAAGAAAGGACAGATATTATTGAAAAGTATTATTTTGACAAAGGGTTGACAAAAGGAAAGCTGGCTGACAGGGTTGTATGAAACAGAGCTTGAACAAGTGGAACAGCACAGTGAAGTATAACACATACTACAACCATTGCAGGAACGTATATCAGTAAATATATTAAATATATTTCCTGATATACGTTCCTGCAATGGTTGTATTATGTGTACATCAGTAAATATATTAAATATATTTCCTGATATACGATCCTTTGCTATGCCTATTCATCCCAGGTATACAGCCTCATTCTTAACTTTGATTTTCCGGCGCCATATCAAGAGGCGAAAGTATCGAAAACCTTACACGCTTGACCGAATCCGTAGTGTACATCTTGCATTGTCGCACTGATCGGAAGCACCGTGCCGTTGGGTCTCTCAAAGTCATCATTCTTGTCTCCATTCCAGTTGCCGTACAGTCCTCTGGTTCGCCCCTTCAGTTCCTCCTGCAGCGTGGTGAACACGTTGAGCAACCCGGATGTGGTAGACACTACTAAGGACACTCCACATCGGAAGTTTATGAGAATGTTCTTAGCCATAACGCCCGAGTTGTTGACCTCATGACAGAACACCGTCGCGCCTACCAAGTAAAACAAGAAATATCTAGTCCGTTAAAGACATTGCGATAATCTTTAACACTCTTGGTACCTGTGACACTTTCATTTCTGTAATGTAGCAATTTTTGGGAACGAAATCTTGAAAACCCTGGCAGGAGCAGAAGATATGTTGATACATCTCGGGGCACTGGGTTTTTACCTTGCAACAGACTACTGAGCCTTCAAGCGAATTTTGCGCATGTATTTTGACACTGTGGCTTATTGACTTTATGTATATATGGCCATATTTGTATGAATGGAATTCGGAATGGGAATTCAATGGAAGATTTTTAGACTCTAGGAGGTGAAAAACACACCGGTCCATTCACCTGATCTGAGCATGCGCGCGTTGTTCTGAGCATGCGAGCATAGTTCTGAGCTAGCAGATTACTGTAGAAAAGGGACCGGTATTTCTGCCGCCTCTATTTCTGCCCTCGCTATCCAGCAAGATCTGTGTCACTAGCGTCTCCCAGCCCACATCGATTCACTGTCAACCGACTGTGTTTATCGTTTTATTTTTCCTTTGGAAACCTCACCCTCAAGTTCCACCCGCCTGACCTGCGTCTCCTCGAAATCCAGCATGGACCACTCACTACCGTTGCCCTCGGGGCGGTACCACACATCCATACCGCGTCGATCGCTCACCTCAACCTGGATTTGATCGGACGTACCAGCGTCATGGGCTGCCAGAGCAGTGAGGACAGTTGCCGGTACACCTACAGGGCAGTGGGGAGACATCGAAGAAAACTAGAGAGAAATACATTGTTTGCTATTAAGTTTATACATAGTTGTTTACATGATAATCTTCATAAAACTCAAGATCGAGAACGTAAAGCGTGACTCTGACATAACCCTTGATGGTCACAAGACCAAAGACCATGGCATTATTAACATGAGTTCGTAAGACAAAACCTGTGTCAATTACCTTGCAGGACTGCCATTCTTGCCTGCATAACAAACGAACCATTGCAGGTTTCCAACATGGTGTATTCGCCCACACCATTGAATGTGTACTCAACACCATCGAGAGTAACCAGGTGAGGATCGCCTGCTGTAATTGCTGTGAAAAAAATGGGCAAAATAACACTGGTGTCGATTGACACTTAACATACGCCTGAAAGTGCTTCAGAACAGGCTAGTTGGTTGGTGCACATCTTTTCCTTACATTTTGCAGCTACCAGTGCACAAATGCACAAATGACGTTACGAGCTTTAAGTGGAGCCACCAAGAGACAAATGATGTACAGAAGTATAAACTGACTTGTCATAACGATGAATCTTGATGACGACAAAATGACCGAACAAAGCCACGGTTATAACAAGTACTTTATCCGGTCCCTGCAACTTTGTTATAACGAGAGCTGACGTACTGTACTATGCAAAAAAAGAAACCCTAACCGAGGCAGCTAAGCATTTTGATTACAATGCTTAGCATGAATGAGAAGAAAATAAAAGGCAGACACTCTTTTACCGGGGCGAAGTGGTGTGTAGCCCTGGCAGGTCTGAGAAGGTCGCACAGATTTATATAACTGACAGGATTCTTCAGAATACACGCAGCAGTGTTCCATCGGTAGAATATCAGAAACCCAGTGAGACAGATAGGGAACACGACCAGCAACCTTGAATATAAATGAAAAAATAATAAATCAGACATACGATCCTTCGTTTACAGAATCTCATACATTGACATAACTCTAAAGAAGGTGTATTAATAACACTAAAACTAATAGGGGCATACTAATGGGGGTATATCGAGGACAGCCTATTGTTCCTCTGGCGATTCTTTTTTTGGACCGTTACTTTATTAGATTTGAATTCTAATGGCTATCAGGCGTCCTCGGTTGATACCCTCTCCCTATTTACCCTGAAAAATTTGTGTACTAACACACCTGCTGCCAAATTATAGGGACTACACATGAATTGAAACACAGACGGTGTGGAGACAACGCTCTGGACTTTCCTTGAGAAAGGAACGGCCCTCTTAAAGCGGGGAAGGCCCGCCAACATGCGCACACAAAATGAATTGATCTTTACCTTATACGGTGCACTGCCATCATGATGCCTACGCTGAGCGAACCCACCACCTGGCGTTCTTAAGACGTTCAGAACATTGCCATTATTGCCATAGCAACACTCCTGGCCACCTCCCATTTCACTGAGGAAATAAAGCAGCCAGTGTTATAAACTGCCGGATGCCATCCTCCAGATTTGGCAACCAGAAGCTGATGTGATTCAACTTCGACGTCCGGAAATGAGGCTTTCTAGCTTATAACGCATTTTAGGATAACGTTTTGCATATACTGTATACTTACCGTGCACTTTATTACTCAATAAATATTTAATTAGTTGAATTCTGAGCTTCGAACAGGCCTTCTCCTATAGCTGTTATCCCAGATATGAAACATTTAATTGAAAGACGAGTTGCAGGGAGATGGCTGATGATGCGCGCTAGTTACTATAGTGCAAGGAATGGCTAGGTTTTGAGATGACTTGCATTTACCTGGGGGTGTTCGCTCTGATGCAGTGCACAGCCCCAGGCTTGAACAGTTCACAGCTGAATGGGGTATCTAAGTTGCACAGGGGATGTGGGCTGAACCTGCCTGCGTCAACCAGAGCTTGGGTCAGCGTGCACGGGCAATGCTGGGTCACTGCAAGGAACTCCAGGTCCGACTGGGCCTCCTTTAGCCAATCCTCGCACCATGCCGAAGGTTCAGGAACGGGGTAGAGCCAGTGGAGGTTGTGGACGTCGCTCCACATTCCGGGAAGGGCTCTTATTGGGGTACAAATACGATAATTACTTTCAGTTTTATGCGTACAGTGTTAATTTTGTCATAGTGCATTGTGTCTATCTGCTCAACTCTTAAAACGGAATGGCTTCTTAATTCCTTTTCCCTTAATTTCACCAATGGTACCGGTTGAAAGGGAGTCGGTTTAGAGAAAGAACACGTTTCTTGATACCTGGTGCACAGGATCTATTTCGACTAAGGAATGAAGAGAGTTCTCGGAACTTACAGCTCATTTTGGCCTTGTGCCCCGTACTGAGAAACACGGACAACACCGACAGTGTACTTGAATCCATCTGGGGAAGGAGGGCGGCTGAACCTGAACACACCAACGTTGTAAGGTACCACTTGGCTGCTGCTGTATACCAACTGAAGATCCACTGTCCCTGAGGTTATGTTCTCTTTGTACCCATAGAAAGAGATCCGAACATCGTCTACGTACTCTTGCAGTAGCTCGGTATCCCACGTGATGGTCAGTGCTCTTAACTCGTTCCATTCTGCGGCGTTCAATCTCTTGACAAATGGCGTGGTGTCCTCTGGACTCACTAATCGAGATGCAGATCAGAAAACAAACAAATGGCAAACAAAATGGGCTTGTGCACTTCTTATTGAAATAAAAATGCCACTAAACTACTGGCTCAGTTAGGTCAGTGGCAAACAATCGCCAACACCGGGTACTTGTCAAAATCCCGCAGATTCTAAGTCGGATACTTCCTTAAAACATTTGGGAAGTACGTGTTTGTATTCCGACATGGCAATTTTATTTCAGGACAGAGAAACCTTTCAGCGATAATTTCTTTTCTTTTACCATTCCGCAAACAAATATTTCTATTTTTAATTAAGGGTGGGCAGATTACAAGCACCTACGGTAAGTGAATACTCCGGTGAAATTGAAGAATTCTCCGCCATTGATCGACATCTTCAGTGGCACACGACCGACTTCAAATACTTGTGGACTGACACATCTGACCGTTGTGTTAGATACTACCTCTCCAGGTACTTCGACGCTGGCAAAGCGGCACACGATAGATGAGGATGCATCTAGACAAGGCCCTGATAAGTGGATAACATCTCCGCCGAGCATCGAGCCAGAAAAGGGGAAAACAGCTAGCGTTCCTGAGAAAAGGGAAAATGGTGAGATTCGTAGTGAAACCATGCGCATGCCAATTACATCAAATAAGAAAACAAAATGCCAGGAACAGTTACCCTATTAATAAACCATACCTCCTGAGTTGCAACCAGAGTTAACGATTTCGCTGCTGTCAATGCGGAAGAGAAAGCGCCCTCTAAAACCGATATTCGAATCTTCGTCAATGTCAACGATGGCGTTCGTTCTGGATTCGGGAACAACGTAGAAAGTGAAGCCATCGCCAGCATTGAAACCAACCTAGGGGGAGAAAGTAAAAGCAACTGATTCCATTCACTCTTTTGAAATCACTACAGCTGAAAGATGTTGCTAAACATGGAAAAATTAAATTATCAGAAGATTTGATTTCCTATTCTTTACGGTTTAAAGAATTATACTTTAGAAGCGGAGTTACTTGGACTAGACGACAGAAAACATATTTCATTCTTACTCCCAGCGATTGATACACTCAGAAGTTGCCATTCCAGTGGCATTCAACTGGGGGGGGGTCGGTTAGTTACTCGTGTACACTGCAAAAACTGTGGCGTAAAAAGTTGTGTTAATTTAACACCTTCGGTGTTATGAGAGGATTACACACAGCCTGGTGTTCCCCTCATAACATCACGTAGACTGGATTAACAACGTAGTTTTTGCAGAGTAGACCTCTTGCCATCTCCAACTGATAGCACAAGCTCTTTCAACACAACGGTGCTACCACTTTTCTTTCAAGGGGTGAAAATTCCTGTACCAATGAAAGAAACTGCATAATCATTTTCATATAAAAAGAACCCTTCCCAGATTCAAAACCTGGATAAACCTGTGTTTCATTCTTTTGGTAACTTCTCAGATAAGCAGGTTCGGTTAATTGTTCCTCTGAACGTTCTTGCTATTATTCTCAATGGCTGTGAACGACTGCTTTAAAAATACCCAGCTTTGCATAAAACAATGAACGTGTACTTGAGCAGGTGTTCCTTGTAGCCCAATGTTGTTGCCACCGCTCGCTGTTCCAGTTGTCCAGTTGATTTCCTCGTAATTGAATATGGCATAGGAATGCCTGCCGTTGGTCACGAGAACGGTTTGAAACGTATTCGTCTGCAAAGAAATATTGACAGGCTGTAAATTTTCACCATTAATAAAGGTTGTGGATATTTTTAGCTTGATCACCGAGTTAATTCCGTTATTAGGAGTGTTTGTCACGAGTTTCTTTCCAACATGCATATTATGCCCTTATATGACATATGACGCTTTGGCCAGTGTGAATTGATAGCTAAGACTCACTAGGCAATTAGATTAAAGGGAGAGAAGTTTCTTCAATGTGCATGCCAACGAATACAATTTCGACAGCTTGGAAAGCACCATCAACACAAATCGGCATAGTATAGGCAAATTAGTCTCTGTTCAAGAACTGTTGTTATTTCTTACGAATATTGGCCGACCACACATTCTAAGCATACAAATGTGGGAGCTAGTATACCGCTCAATCAGTGATTATAATCGTTGTATTAGTATGAAAAAATGACCATTTTTCACCGATGTTAAGATCAATGGTACACTAATAGGAAGGTATAACTATATTAAATTAGGATCTTCGGTCTTATTATCTGGATAAAATTGACTGTGGAGTTGAGTAAATACTGGCTAAAACGGTATACGCACGATATTCAAGGCGTCATGATTAACAGCTCCAAAAAAGGGCACTTTGTTCCAAGTTGCGATAAATATCCACGTTGCTGAGAACCTGGACTGATCAATGAACGTTTTTCTGACAATACTGTCCACTTCTGCGAAGAGCTGGTCGTTTTCTGGAACACGGATAAGTTCGCGATAGGTTACATTGCCTCCGTGTGTTATATCTACGTCACCCCAGAATGGCGCCACAACTCGCCTATCTCCGTCAAGAGGAAACGGTGTCGGTGTGAAGGATGACACTTCGATGAGGAAGGAAAGTGCGCCATTCGTATTCACCTGCAATTGAATCAGGAAAACAAGTTTATTTGAAATTATTTTGTTGTTAATGGCATGCCTAAAATGGAAGCTTCTTGTAATATAAACTTAACTGTGTGAATGGGCATGACCTCAGCGATACACCTGAAGGACATTTCATTTTACTGCTAATTTGCGCCCCAAAACTCGGCTATGTACGACTCCTTGGTATATTGATGAAGTTATAACTCCATCTGTAAGTCTATAACGCATTATGATTTTGTACGGTCACTATGAGTTCAGGGCAATCCGCGCGCGAGCCTGCGCAAATTGAACACACTAGTGGAAAGTATACATTTTTGGTGCGTGCGAGAACGGTAGACTCGATTTTCATGTTTGGAAAATAATATCAAAATTTGGGCTCGTGAAGAAATGCACTGCAGTGATATAAGAAAAGGTTTTTTTTGGGGGGGGGTGTCAGCGATGAATCTGCCCAACTTTTTTAGGAGCAACTATTGCTCTTGTCATGATTCCACTTAGCGCAGTTTGCTCTCTAAGCGGAGCTGTTTAGAAATGTAATATACTTTGTGCCAAATCTATGTGTCCAATGCAAAACTTACACGTAGTTCCAAGAGTGTACAGAGACAATGTCCCTTGCCACTTCGAAACAGGAATTCAAATACTTTGAACCATGTTTGGTACACAAACTCACACCGCATTTGCAAAAAAAAGACTGTCAAGACGAAATACGTTTTCAAACCATATTATGAAAAGAATGAGCTGTGAGGATTTCTTTTTGTTTTAACGATGACGATTAAAATACTTATCAACATTGAAACAGAATGTATCTCATTTGATTGACACTGTGACTGAATTCAGTGTTGCAGAAGTACCACAGTTCATGGACCTTTTGCTCCAAATTAAATAGTTTCCCATTCATTACTCTCGGGGTCCATACTGGTGCTGGGGATAACGTTCACTGCTTTCAAGGTGAACGAAATGGGGTTAAAAACGCATCGGTGGTTTGCCAACAATCCTATCCAACCACCATACCAAACTGCGCCCTGAACTAGGAATGAGAATCGTTAATGGTTCTGTTAAAAGCCCCGAACATGACCAAGAGAGGGCGGAATTTTCCAAGCAACGCGGGCTTCTTTGGTAGTAACTGCACCTCCGATCGCTGGTTCACAAACGACTACAAGATTCACTTATTAGAAATGAGCACTCCCGACCAACAGGGGTCTTTTCAGTCGTTGAAGGGGCTGTTTCTGCTCGCGGCAATTAAATGGTGTGCATGGTGGTTGTGCCTTAGCAGGTTTTGTGGAGCTGGATCCAC